GGGTTTAGGAACCCTAAACCCTGAACCCTGAACCGTTCAGCCTATCTGCAACCCTGGCTGGACCCTACGAAGCCTACCTGTTTAGGGATCCTGATTGTGGTTCCTTGAAATACGCCGCGGAAAAGGTCGGTTAGTTCGTTGGCCTTATTATGGCTTCTTTATATACGTCAAATAATAATGGTAGGGTTTTTTATTTGGGGTTAGGGTAGCTTCTAAATCTCCAAACTCAAAACCCCAAACCTTCAGATCCTGACAGGCCCAAATAGGTACCCTTAGGAAGCACTTCTGGTGCCCTTAACAGAACCCTGAAGCCTGAATGACTAGTAGTACTACGAGTCCTAAGGGTTTCTGATTATGACTATAGTAAGGTTTAGGGTTTAGGTAACCCGGAAACCCTGTTCTAGTTCATGAAGCTCCTATACCAAGCTCTCGCGCCATCGGCGAGTTGTAGAAGATGGGGATCTCATGGAGATCCGAGTTTCTTTCCTCGGGAAAAGCCGTGGAACTGCCGAGGAGCCCCTGATGCAGGGTTCTAGTCTAGGACATGTAAATCGTAAATGAGAGGACATATAAACAAGTGGGCCTTCAACCCTAAAATAGGGGCCTTAATGATTAGAATAGGGTTTGGGGGTAGATTGTACTATTGCTCTAATAAGGAACCCCGAAACCCTATCCCTCAATCCCGAACCCTTAAACCCGAAATCGAAAGACTTTGGAGGGTGGAGAGCGTGCGAAGTCGTCGGGTCTTCAAGATCAACATTCCCCAGAGGGTCTAGACATAGAAGCGTTATGGAATTGAGCTCCAAGAGACCATCCGTATTATGGTTGTCTCACCAAGTTCCATGCTTAGTAGCAGAGAGAGAGAGAGAGAGAGAGAGAGAGAGAGAGAGAGAGAGAAAGAGAGAGAGAGAAAGAGAGAGAGAGATCTCTATATACAATATAGAGGGTAGTTCTCTAAATTAGAGTCCCGCTATAGGTCCCCAATATAGTACGGCACCCTTATGAACTTATAACCCCCCCAGGGGACCCTAATTCAGAGAACCACCCATGATTCAGGCTTCCCCACGTGGCTTCGAGGACTTCCGGGGATGTGGTTTCGGTCTGGCGGTCAGGGTTTAATTCAGGGTTCAGGGTTCTCGGGCTTGAGGGGGTTTCATAGAGCTTACATGTCTAAAGTTTTGAGGGCCCAGTGTTTGGGTGTTAGAGCTTTGGGGTTTTGGGCTTCAGATGATCCGACCTGATATAGGGGCCTGATATTACCAGAATAGGGCTTTCGGCAAACTATACTGCAACTATAAAAATATCACCATGAGTAATCGTTCAGGTCTCTGTGCGAGCGGGCCTTTGGAATGACGCTCAGGGCTTAAGGTTCAGAGTAGATTGCAGGACTGTTGTAAGAGGTGCTGTTGTGGTTGGTCGTTCCCTGGCTAGCACCATTCCCAGAACTATTTCCATGCCAGCTTACACTTGTTTAGGGCCGTTTAGGGTTTGGGGTTTCGGGACCTTGTTTTGGCTACAGGTTGGCGTTGATGTTGCTGGCGTCGCTGCTCTTTTTGGCGGTCATGTTTGCGCGGATCTGGTTGTTTGTTCCCTGTCATGATTGCTACAATTATGCGTTTGGCCATGGTACAGATATGCTTACAGGCTAAGCGGCTAAAGTCAATGTTGGTGCTCTTCCTGTCCCAAACCGATGATGCTGATGGTGCAGGAAATGATGCGAGAGATGAGGGTGGTGATGGCCACCGTGGAAGACTGCTGCCTTAACAGCTCACGGCTGTCAATTTAGCTGCGTCTGATAGGGCATAGGGCATAATTGGGGCAGTTACGCTACTCACACAGCCACCTTAGCCACAGACAGCTTTAGATGCTGTAGCTGGGCTTACATCTAGCCATGACACCTCGACTAGTGAGGCTCGCAGCTGCCCGGCCTTGCACCAACAGACTGACCCAGGGTTCGGAAATCTGCGAGATCACCGGACCCTAAACTAACCCTAAACCCTACACCCTAAACCGACAGGTTCTGGCATGTGCGGGCTTAGCACCTAGCAGATGATGACCGGTAAAGTGCCAAGTGCGACTGCCAATGCTGTTGGCTAGGTCCGTTAGATGCCCCCCTGTCAGTTTGAACACCCTGAGGTCCAAGTAACTACTCACCAAACATGTTGCAAATACCAAGCTACATAATCACTGTTCTCCGAAATTCGAATACCTCATTCTTAGGTGCTTCGGACCCTCTAGAAGCAACGCCTTTTGCTCATATGGCTTCCAGCAACAACCGCAAAACTTCACTATGTCCTCTTCGTGCAGCTATCTTCAGGGCGTTTAAGCCCACCCTGTTGGTTAAGCTTGTGTTGGCGCTGGCGTTCAGAAGCAAGCGCACCGCTTCGACTCGATCCTCTTGAGAGGCTATCATCAAGGAAGTGAAGCCGTCCTTTTCGGCTATGTCTGTGTCGGCCCCGGCAGCCAAAAGCAACTGCACACATTCATTGTGGCCTTCGAGAGAAGCCTTCATCAGGGCAGTGATGCCATCCATATCTTTTAAGTCCTTCTCGGCACCGGCCTGCAAAAGCAAACGAGTAGCTTCAACATGGCCTCTGTGAGAAGCGATCATAAGAGAAGTGACGCCGACATTGTTGGCTATGTTCAGTTCGGCACCCTCTGCCACCAACAATCGCACAACTTCAGCACGGCCTTCCTGTGCAGCGACCATTAATGAAGTATACCCGTCTGACATGATCACGTTCTTGTCGGCACCGGCCGCCAGCAGCAAGCGCACCACTTCAACATGGCCCTGCCGTGACGCCATTACGAGCGCCGTGATGCCACCTTACTTCCCAAATACCCGAATTTAAACTTGAGGAGAGCCTGATTATAGGTTCTTAGACCCCTGGACAATGTAAAAGTTTGGAAATGAACAACGATGCGACTTTGGTTCGCGAAGTCAACGTAGTCCTTGTCGGCATTGGTCTCCAGCAGCAGTCGCACCAACTCAACGTGCCCTTCCTGAGAGGCCATCATCAAGCAAGTGAAGCCCATGTCAGTGCTGGTCAGATTCCTCGGATGCCCCTGTCATATCCCCAAAAAGCAGAACGTCCAGAAAAAACACTAAACATAACATAGGGGCCTTAACAATTAGAACAGGGTTTGGGGGGGTATATTATGCTATAGTTATAAAAAAGAACCCCCAAAACCCTATTCTACTTATAACGGCCCGTATTAAGGGTCGCAAGTGCAACTGCCAAGATTCTTGTCGGCACCGGCCTCAAGAAGCAAGCGGGCAACTTCCACATGACCATTTTGAGAAGCTGCCCACAGGGCAGTGGCGCCATGTTTTTGTATGTTCTTCTCGGCACCGGCTGCCACCAGTAAGCGAGCAATTTCAACGTGACCGCCCTGCGAAGCCATCATCAAGCAAGTGAAGCCGTCATAGCTTCTGGAGTTCTTATCCGCACCGCCATCCAGAAGCACTTGCGCAACTTCAACGTGGCCGTTCTGGCAAGCTGCAAAGAGGGCAGTGCAGCCATCAGGGTCGCGTGTTTCTGTACTGGCATTGGCCTCCAGCAGCAGACGTACAACTTCGATGTGGTTCCTTACTTGCCGCAACTCACCCTCAAGGGTCCAAGATTCCACAAAACATTTCTGAATTGCTATAGAAACTCAATCGAACTGTACTAAACATCTCTTCATTAGCAAAAAACAACCTCCAAAGGACGTGCCTGCAACAAGCCTCATGAACAAACAAGACCTAAAACCCGAAACCCTAAACCCTGAACCCTTATGCAACCATCGGAGGACGAAGCTTCTGTGTAGCTGATACCATCAGCGGACTTCTGCCGTGTCTGTCGACCACATCTGGGATGGTTGGCAGCTGCAAAATTGCGTCAACCTGTGTCAGGAAACCTGAACCCTAAACCCGTGTGGGTTTAGGGCTTAAGGGCTTAGGGTTTAGGGCTTAGGGTTTAGGGTTTGTTTAGGTACTGTGTTATCTGTATACGAGATTGTAAAGATCGATTTTAGGGGCTCTATACACTTCTTTAGTGGCTGTATACTTAAAGGATCATGGGACTTAGTAACTGAGGACAAACAAGGTAACTCTACTTATAAATACGTGCAGCAACATTTAAGGTACTTCTACCGTATAATCTTACTTTCTAAATTCCATATCCCCAATATTAGATTTCGTTAAGGATCCCTTCAAGGAATCCGTTGAGGAACCCTCCTCACTAAGTCCCATGATCCTCCATGTCGGGTTTATGGGCCTCTGGCTTTGATTGAAAAAGGTCCATTGCTTCAATCCTAAACTCTAAACCCTATGCCCTAAAGCCGGCTCTCAGCTGTTCAATTAGGGGGTTGAAGGGTTTGGGGAGGTTTAGGGCTAGGGGCCGTCCATGGCCGAGTTTCGGGTATTCTGGTGTCTCGGACCGACCAGTGCTGTTCCTCAACATGCCCCGTTGCCTCTGTGGCAGCTTACTGCAGAAGCACTTGCACCACTAACCCGTAGGCACTTGGGCTTCATTCAAACGAAAAGGATTGGATTACAGGGTCTTAATTAAACCCTAAACCCTATATCCTCACCCAAAACCCTAAACCCAGTGCTCCGTTTAGGGCTTATAGTTACTGTGTCACAGCAACCCGTGGCAAATCCTCATGCTACAAGCCCCTAAGCCTGCGGCCCTTATTTTACAGATTTGGTGCAACAAGAACCAGACTCTAAAGGGTGCTTAGGGTTTAGGGTCTAGGACTTAGGGCTTAGGGTTTGGGGTTTAGAGCCTTTCCAGAGACGGGGCACGTCCGAGCTGAAATCAAACTGTGGATGAAATAATTTAGGCAGCGCCTCTGACGTGACGAGTTGAGCCTGTAGAGACGTGGGGTCCATGGAGTACTTCTGTTGTCTGACATGTTATCCCATAAGATACCCCTAAACCCTACTCACCTAGTCGAAATATGATAAGGCCCCTGCAGTACAGCAAGCCATCTAAGATGTAGATTAATATAGGGGCCTCAATAATTAGAATAGGGTTTTGGGGCCCATCATACTATAAAAATACTAAGGACCCCCCAAAACAGTATATTTAGGCTCCTACCTCAGATGGTTCACAACAGATGAGGCCTCGGATAAAGATCCGTCCCTGGCGGCATTCACCAGTTCATCTGCTTCGGCAGGGGATGCCACAGAATATGTCAGTAGGACCAGTTCCAGGTCCATCGGCGAATCCAACTTGGTATCATCGTCTAGAGGACTGCCGCGACTGCCGCAACAGAAGAGCCTCTGCCTAAATCGAGGAGGCAAGCCCTTCAGCTGGCTCAGCTGCCTCTTCAACGACCTAACATCGCTCAGCTCCTCCACAGGTATGCTTGCCACCTCCTCCCCTGATAGCATCCTGATGTGCAGCATCGCGACAGGAAGGCAGAATGGATTTGCGACGAGACAACATCGATTGCGCGTGCTACTATCAACAGCCAACTTCGTCGTAACAACATGTTCATGGTTAGCGAACATACAAAGATAGTTGTTGGCATCGATAGAATGACAAGACGGTCATAATTTCGGCCCGAAAGTAGTAGGATCTGTATTACAGGTGAATACGTTGCACCTCGTTTTCGGGAAACTCTATCTGATCAGACTCCAGCATCTGCATACGAGGGCGCGAAATGGCAAGCCAGCACACACAGGACACGGATGAATCCCGAAGCTAAAGGCTACGCAAGGCTTTGCGGTTTAGGTTTCAGGGTTTAGCACCTGATAGTATCTACTTTACATAGGAACTCCTTTTAGGCCCAAGTATATACTATTGCAATCGGGTCTAAGTGCCTGTGCTTGCAACTATGGGGTTTAGGGTTTAGGGTTACAAACTGAAAGGGATGTGAGAGTCTACTACAAGGCCTCGGAAGAATTAAACTGCATCAGTAGTAGATTAATCAAGCTGTTGGCGACGTTGGATTTGGTAAGTTGGTGTGCAAGTCTTAGCCAGGGTACTAGAAACGTAATATTCTAAGCAGCCAGCTGTCAACAGACTCTAGTATAAACAACTCCCACTAGCCTGGAGCTGAAAAGTGTCTCTAAGTAGTATGTATGTAATCGTGTAATATGCATACGATGAAGATACACATGTACGGATGTATATACAGGAAGTAGTGTGTGTGTATATATGTATATATATCTATGTATCTAATACCAACGTGTATGTACATACACTGGCCGGCCATGCAAGTAACCAATAAGATAGGTTACCGGCTTTGAAAACTCCAACGAAGACAACTATAGGAGTTAGGATTAGGGGGACCCTCGGGGATATAGACCCTGTCAATAAGGTCATTTTTAAGAGAGCCATAAGTAGAGTTAAGAAGGGTCCCCTTCAAGGGGACTCCTTAATACTACCCTAAACCCTAAACCCTAAACCCTAAACCTTAAACCCTAAACCCTAAACCCTAAACCCTAAACCCTAAACCCTAAACCCTGAACCCTAAACCCTAAACCCTAACTCGTAGTTGCATGCGTGGAGCCCTCGGGGGAGACTCCGATGGCTAAGAAGTTGCAGACCCAGGGCTCACAGGAAAAAACCCATAATGTAGAAGCCTTAATAATTAGAATAGGGCTCCCTAAACCCTAAACCCTAAACCCTAAACCCTAAACCCCATAATGTAGAAGCCTTAATAATTAGAATAGGGCTTTGGGGGTTCTAGGGTTCCTTAAAGGGTTCTATAAGGGCTACTATAAGGGTTTGGGGTGTTAGAAGCCTTAATAATTGGAATAGGGTTTTTAGAGTATGTTATAGTATATTATACTTATAACGAGCAGCCCCCAACATAGTATAGGTAATTATTAAGGCTCCTACAGTACATAGACGCATGTGTCTGCTTTACCGGCTGAGTTGGGTGCCCAGTAATCCTCCAGAATCAAGAGGATTTCCTGTGTTCGGTCTGATGTCGGCTCGGCTTTGGAAAGTTTGAGGAGTTCAGATATACAGGGTTTAGGGTTTAGGGGTTTAGGGTTTAGGGTTTAGGGCCTGGGTTTAGGGATACTGCAGGCATGCGTCCTGCCCAGGCCTACACACAAAACCTCTTCGTTTTTTTCTTAGCAACCATGTTCCTCCAGCCAAGACCCTATACCGCAATTGACCCTAGACCGAAGGACTCCAAACGCTACAGAAAGCCTATAGGAGTTAGGACTAAGGGGACCCTTGGGGATATAGACTCTCCCAATAAGAGAGCCATATGCAAGGTTAAGAAGGTATCCCTAATACTACCTAGGAGCCTAAACCCAAAAGAGTTTAGTATGGGGCCCTTAATAGTTGTAATAGGCTTTGGGTCCGGGTGTCTGTTACCTTCAAAACGGCGGTCTTGCGAATATTGTGAAAAGGGTTTCATAGGACTTCATGCATCTTTGCAACAGGGTCCCATAAGGCTTCGTGATCTTTGGGGTTCGATAGGGCTGCATGTTTTTTCCTGAGTTTCAGATGTTTTTATGATTTTCGAAGAGTTCGGTAGGGTCATTCAAAGGTCTTGAAGGAGTTTGTTTGATGGGTTGTGTATTCAAAGGGGGCCTGCCGCCGACCCGCTGCCACACCTTCGTCAAAGGCCCACTTCTCAATCTCAGCCTGGTCTCCCTAAATCCTAAACCCTAAACCCTGAACCCTAAATCCTAAATGCCTGGTCCTTCTTGAGCTTGCGGGCCCGACGCCCCTCCTGCGGCTTCTTCTCATGCAGCATATTCCCTGCCAGTGCTGCCCTTCGAAGCATCGTCTGCTGTGAAGGCGAGGTGGTTTAGGTTTAGGGGTTAGGTGTTTAGGGCTTAGAGCTCCGAGACGAAGATGACGAAGAGGCACTCCAAGGTGCTGGCCGCCTCTTACCCTAAGGGTCGAAATACCTAATAATCATATACTCTTCTGAATACTAACCTACAAAACTACTATCCGTAACCCAAGTACATGATTATGAGATCCTTTGGACCCTTTGGGTTAGAGCAGGACTTAGTGAACAATCACCAAACGCCCAAAAACCCAAGGTCTATAGACCCTGTCATTGCCGTTTGGGAGTTTCCCAAAGTAAGGGGTGCCTTATCTTAGGATCCCTATAATAAGGAACCTACTATTTAGGGTACCATATTAGGGTCCCCCATTTTCGGAAACCCCCATTTGACCCAGGTCCTATACGATTGCATGTGAAGTCGCCACTGCCCGGAAACCATTAAGCCCTTCTTCTTTGAATCCTGGCTTCGACTTGAAACCCTAGATGCTAAACGCCTAAACGCCAGAGCCCTACGCACGAAACCCCTAAACCCTATAAGCCCTAAACCCTTATAGATCCCACCCTAAACCCTAAACCCTAAACCCTCCATATGTGGATCCCTTAAGCTAAAGGCTCCCTGAAAGGTAGATCCTCACACCTAAGATCTCCAAGCGAGATGCGTAGAAGCCTTTCCTAAGGAGCTGAAGTACAGGATTCTATGTATGCACCCCGAAAAGGAACTACTTTAGGGCCCATGGGTAGTTTGCAGTTATCACACTGGAATAAGCATATGAGTTACCATACCCTAAGGAGGTCCATATCCGGAACAGGGTTTGTAGCACCCATCAGAAAAGGGACGTCAGAAAAGGAGATGCGCAACCTTGGCATTACATTCTTTGACAACAACTGGGAAGTGCATAAGCCGTAGACCCAAACGCTACGCCTAAAACCCTAAATGCCATTCGTAAACTTTCACCTATAAACCCAAAACCTTCAAGCCTTAAGTTAAGTGCTCAACCCTAAACCCTAAACCCTCAAACCCTTAAGGTAAGGGCTCCTGAGGAGGACCCCTCACAATTCCTTGAAGCCTTG